ATTGAATCGACATCCGAAAGAGAAAGATTTCAAAGACTGTGCAGTTATGAGACTGTATAGTTGAGGATATCTTATAAGAATTAATTGGTACTACCTATGCTTAACAAAATGCATCTACTTTTCAGTAGCCTAGAACGGAAGAATTCCATAGTTAAGCGTGCTTGACTTGCAGTAATTCTGGGATGAGTGACTCAGGCGTTACACATATAAATCAAACATAAACCAAACTCATTTTAAATATTTTTAAATAAAATAAAATAGATAAATTAAATACTATTATTGAATAAAAATACATTATAGGATTTCAATCAACAACAACTATTTTAACTATAAAATATGAGGATACCAAAAAAAAAACTATAAAATATGAATTGATACACTTTGGGGCTTTAGTTCATCATAAGATGATATATGTTTGTAATATTGTACTGCTAAATCATCTTAAATATGAATTTCACATATTTTATCATTATAATTTATCGCATAGACAATATATTCTTACCTTATTTCTCTTTCAAATTCTTTGATATGCATTGTATTATTTAACTTACTTTCTATACAATATATTTTGTGAATAAAGTAAAATAAAATATTATGATATATAGATAATATTTAAACTATAATCAATTTTATTTTAAAATTATTCATAGATTTGGAATATTCAAATAAATAAATAAATATATCAATATTTTAATTTCTTTAATGAAAGGAGGTTTATTATAATTAAATATAATATTTGCATATTTTAATATTTACTAATATATTAAATAAAAAATACTGACCGGTATTATAATTTTATGTCTGGCATAATTTTCTTCATATTTTGAATTTAAATAATTTTTTTCATGTATATTAATTGGCATATACCACTTATAATCACTTACAAATTATGATACTTTATATAATTTAAGATTTTTTTTGAAAATATCTTTAAAAATTTGAATTTGAATATTTTTATTAATTTAAAAGAAATGAAGTATTTTAATATTGGTAAATTTATTCTTACCGAAAAAGTCATATAATAGAGGGAAAATACAAGCATGCTATTTGAGAATTTTACAGAAAACTTATTATTTCATTGTTTTATAAATGAATTATATTTTAATACTGAATTTATATAATATTTGAAGATTTAATTTTAAATTAAGGGTATTTTTTACATTTCATTTATAATTGTATATATATTTTTTAGAGTAAAGACCCTTTTTGATCCCTAACAAAAAACACGGTCCCCATTTTAGTCCCTTACAAAAATAAATTAGTGAGTTAGTCTCTAACAAATTCAAGGTGGACCCATTTTAGTCCTTTTGAGGGACTAATATGGGTCTTTTTTGAATTTGGAAGGGACCACGATTTCAACTAAATGGGTCCACTTTGAATTTGTTAGGGACTAACTGACTAATTTATTTTTGTAAGAAACTAAAGTGGAGACCGTATTTTTTGTTAGAAACTAAAAAGGATATTTACTCTATTTTTTTCCTCAAAAATATTTTAGAATTTTATGTAATAAGGTCATTTTCAGAATTCAGGGATTAAATGATAGAAGTTGTCTCCACAAAAGATTTAAGTGATAAGTTTGAAAGTGATATATCACACGAAATTAAGTGATATATACTAAAGTCACAAAGGTTGAAAGCGAGTTTTCCCAAAAAAAAAAAAAAGATAGCATAAAAATATCAATTTTATATCTGATTTTTAAATTGTAATATAAAAGAGAAGAAAAAGATAAAGCATAAGACAAAAATCTAAAAAATTTGTTACTATTAAAAATTAGAGGCTAACTTCTTATTTTACACATAACATCGGCCAAAAGTTAAAAAATATCTAAATCTTTCTTTCTCTGGTCTTTGTTCTTCTCAGCCCCCCTTCTTGAAAATTTCTTCTCCTAGTCTTTAATTTGTTCACCACAAAAAAAAAAAAAAAAAACCTCCTTATGAGGTGCATCAACCATCAAACGATAAACAAAACAAAACAAAAATTGTACTGCAACTTAATTACTTGTAATGTGATGTAATATACTACTTGTATTGTCCTTTCATATACATCAAATGCATCCTAAGTTTATTCTTTTTCTGAATTAGTTACCTATTATATATATGAAAAAGTGTGTATCATTTTAAAGGATATAAAATTGTATCATTTTAAGTCAGAGAAAGAGATAGATATAAAGTTGTGTCATTTTAAGTGAGAGAAAGAGATAGATAAAGTAGGAGACAGAGTGGACAAAAAATATAAAAGATATATGTCTCATCTCTTTGTAAGAGTGAAATGACATAAGTTATGTCATTTAAAAGGATACACACTTATTTATATATATATATATATATATATATATATATGGGATTTATTAATCTCCTTTAATAGAAGATAGCTTGCCTAATGCATAGAAACAAATTATGTGGGTCTCACTATTTAAAAAAAAATGGCACAATTTTTTATGCCTCACTAGCATAAAATAATTGTCTTCTATAAAAGAAGGTAATTTAAACCCATATATATATATATGTATTGCAAAATTTAATATTTTTCTCTATTAATTCATGTTTGAAAATATATTTTTTATTTAATTTTTTTTCTTATTTAAAAATATTTAGTCAATACATAGAGTCATAGACAACTACAGGTAACCAGAAGACAACAATTGAAGTCCGAAAATTCATTTCCCACACGGCAAGGCATTCCACACGTGTCCACAACAAGTTTGGGGACAAAACAAAATTGAACCACAATAAAGAAGGTTACGAGAAGACACTCCAAGTCATTTTCTTTTTCTCTTTTTTATTTCCAAATGCTTTGGTGACTCCAAAAATATTTCGTCTTCCTGTGTCAAGAACTTAGCGCATTCACTTACATCATAGCACATTAGCACATATATTATTATTCAGAATAATATTTCTGTAATTACTGTACCTAAGTTATTTATATTTATTTCAAAAATAATATCATTTTGAAATTAAAAAATTAATTACATCATAGCACAGTAGTATTTGGTTTGGGAAAAAAAAATTTTACTAGAGAAATGTAATTACAAGAAAAAACATTAGAAAATAAGTTTGATAGAAAAGTTGAAAAAAAGTTGTTTGGTACAACAAAATATTACTGAAAAAATTGGGTTAAATATCTTGATGTATGTTTGGTTGAAAATAAAATTTTGATGGAAAAAAGAATGGATGTAATTACTGTACATAAGTTATTTATATTTATTTCAAAAATAACATCATTTTGAAATTGAAAAATTAATTACATCATAGCACAGTAGTGTTTGGTTTGGGAGAAATTTTTTTTTACTAGAGAAATGTAATTACAAGGAAAAACATTAGAAAATAAGTTTGATAGAAAAGTTGAAAAAAAGTTGTTTGTTACAACAAAATATTACTGAGAAAATTGGGTTAAATATCTTGATGTATGTTTGGTTGAAAATAAAATTTTGATGGAAAAAAGAATGGATGTAATTACTGTACATAAGTTATTTATATTTATTTCAAAAATAACATCACTTTGAAATTGAAAAATTAATTACATCATAGCACAGTAGTATTTGGTTTGGGAGAAAAAAAAATTTACTAGAGAAATGTAATTACAAGGAAAAACGTTAGAAAATAAGTTTGATAGAAAAGTTGAAAAAAAGTTGTTTGGTACAGCAAAATATTACTGAGAAAATTGGGTTAAATATCTTGATGTATGTTTGGTTGAAAATAAAATTATGATGGGAAAAAGAATGGAAATTACGAAGAGGGGTAGATATTTTGCTCACATGTGGTTAAGAAGAGGGGTAAACTTGTCACTGTTTTCATCCCCTTTTTCTATTTATCCAGTTTTCACACAAATACCACGTTGGGAGAGGGCTTCATTAACAGTGCATTATTACTTTTTTTACATCATTTCTCAATTCCTAGGCAATGGTGTTTGATGGGTAAATTTCCTGAATCCTTCGACCAAACGTGGATAAATGACAAACCCATATGTAGGGGTGTCAATATAGGTTTTGACACGCGAGTCGACCCACGACACGACACGAAATTCGTGTTCGGGTTGACCCGCAAAAAATTTCGAGTCGTGTTCGTGTTGGGAAAAATGACACGTAAAAATTTTGTGTCGTGTTCGTGTTGATGTATTCGTGTTCGTGTTGACCAGTATTTTTTTAAATTATTTTATTTTAAATTTTTATTATTATTTTTTTAATTTTTTTTAATTTCGATCCATTTTTTTAAATTTTTTTGGTCAATTACCGTTTTGACCCCTATATTGCGTGTTATTCGTGTCGTGTCGTGTCAACCGGCAAAACATTCGTGTCGTGTCAGTGTTGAAGATTTTGACACGAATAAAAATTCGTGTCGTGTTAGTGTTGATATATTCATGTCGTGTCAAATTCGTGTCGTGTCAAATTCGTATCGTGTCAACCTGTTTTAACACCCTTACCCACATGCATTTAGCTGGGAGAATTTTGAAAACTCCCCAACCAAACACTACCTTACATCATAGCACATTAGCACATATATTATTATTCAGAATAATATTTCTGCAATTACTGTACATAAGTTATCTGTATTTATTTCGAAAATGACATCGTTTTGGGATTGAAAAATGGGAAAGGATATTGTAACAATTAAGTTGTATTACTACCATGTTACTACCAATCAATCTCACCGTTAGATTAATTATGTTGATCCAACAGTAAGATTGATTGGTAGTAACATAGTAGTAACACAACTTGGTTGTTACAATATCCTTCCCCTTGAAAAATTAAATAATTATAATTATAAAGATTATAATAATCTTGAAATAAATTAAAATTATAAAAACACAATAATTTTTGTCCCAAAATTACGTCGTATTAAATTTACCCGAATAACAGCGAATCCATTATTATTATTATTATTATTATTATTATTATTTTGTGTGAAATGTGTCTTCAGAAACCCATAAATTCACTAATTAGAAAGTCATAATCTAAATAGGTATACCATTACGTACACAAGGACTAAAAAGTTTGTCTGAATAACAAGTTAACAACGCTATATATATATGGGTTATATTTATCTACTTTTACATAAGATAACTACATTTTCTACCCACACAAAAGCTAGGTGGATCCCATTTCTTTTTTTTCTCTCTCCTCTTACATATGGGTCCCACTTGTAATCTTGTTTCTACAGCATAAGATAAGTATTTTCCTACAACATAAGAAAATTATTTCCATATATATATATATATATATATATATATATATATATATAATCACAATAACATAAGAAATGACCATTGAGCAGTATTATCAACCCTCTCTCTACACACAACACAAGCTAGCATGTGAATGGCCTCTTCAATCTTATTCACTCTTCTTCTTTTCATTTTGTCTTTTCCATATTCATCTTCATTCTCCCTTTCTGTGGAGAAACTCGATGAAGATGTTATAGTTTCCCCCAATGGCAAATTCACTGCAGGTTTTTATCCCGTAGGGGAAAATGCTTACTGTTTCTCAATATGGTTCACCCAAACTTATCATAAACATGGCCAAAATGCCACCATAGTTTGGATGGCAAACCGTGACCAACCAGTGAATGGAAAAGGCTCAAAACTTTCCCTTCTTAAGAATGGTAACCTCATCTTAACAGATGCAGGACAATTCATAGTTTGGACCACAAACACTGACTCATCAAACCCACTTGAGTTTCTTTTATACGACACAGGAAACCTTGTACTTCAAGAACAAAACAATGGTTTCATTCTGTGGCAAAGTTTTGATTACCCAACAGATACACTTCTTCCTGATCAACATCTCACAAGGTACATGAAGCTTGTTTCCTCAAGAAGTGAGAGCAACTATTCCTCAGGCTTCTATAAACTCTTCTTTGACAATGACAATGTTCTTCGTCTTCTTTACGATGGTCCTCAAGTTTCAAGTGTTTATTGGCCAGATCCTTGGCTTGTAAGCTGGGAAGCTGGTAGATCTACTTACAATAGTAGCAGAGTTGCAACACTTGATCTTTTGGGGAAGTTCCATTCTTCAGATGGTTTCATTCTCAAGACATCTGATTATGGGACAGTGCTTCAACGAAGACTAACCCTTGATCATGATGGTAATGTTCGTGTATATAGCTTGAAACATGGACGAGATTATTGGTCAGCATCAGGGCAAGTCAAGCAACAACCTTGCAAGATTCATGGGATTTGTGGACCCAATAGTACTTGTAGTAATGATCCAAGTACTGGTAGAAAGTGTTCATGTCTTCCAGGTTATAGCAGGGTTAACAATCAAGATTGGTCTCAAGGGTGCAAACCAAACTTTCAACTAACTTGTAACAACAACAACACTGAGTCTCGCTTCCAATTCATACCCCATGTTGAGTTTTATGGATTTGACCTTTGGTACTATGACAATTACACCTTTAAACAATGTAGGCATTTGTGCTTGCGAATGTGTGAATGCATTGCCTTCCAATTTACACGCTTTGAGAGCCAGAGTTTCTTTAAATGTTACACAAAGATACAGTTGCTAAATGGGTATCATTCACCCAGTTTCCCAGGATCACTCTACTTGCGATTGCCGAAAAGAAGTAATTTTTCCTATGAGAAGAACCCCATCAAAGATAATAGCTTGGTTTGTTCAAGAAATGGAACAAAACTTGAAAGGCCATACCTGAATGACAAAGAAAATGGATCAGTGAAGTTCATGCTTTGGTTTGCGAGTGGCTTAGGAGGAATTGAGGTAGTGTGCATATTTCTGGTTTGGTGTTTCTTGATTAGAAATGGGAAACACTTGGGTGCAGACACACAGGGCTATGTTCTTGCAGCAGCAACAGGATTTAGGAGATTCAGTTACTCTGAACTGAAACAAGCCACAAAAGGTTTCAGTCAAGAGATTGGAAGGGGAGCTGGTGGAATTGTCTATAAGGGTGTGTTATCAGATAATAGAGTTGCAGCAATAAAGCAACTATATGAGGCAAACCAAGGAGAAAGTGAGTTCCTTGCTGAAGTAAGCATCATTGGAAGGCTTAACCACATGAATTTAATTGGCATGTGGGGTTATTGTGCAGAGGGAAAGCATAGGTTGTTGGTGTATGAGTATATGGAAAATGGTTCTTTAGCTGAAAATATCTCATCAAATTCACTTGATTGGGGTAAGAGGTATAGCATTGCTTTGGGTACAGCAAGAGGACTGGCTTACCTACATGAAGAATGTTTGGAGTGGATTTTGCATTGCGATATAAAGCCTCAAAATATACTTCTTGATTCTGATTTTCAACCCAAGGTTGCTGATTTTGGCTTGTCTAAGCTTCTCCATCGGAATGATCTCAACAATTCAAGCTTCTCAAGGATTAGAGGTACAAGAGGTTATATGGCACCAGAATGGGTTTTCAACTTGCCAATCACTTCCAAAGTTGATGTTTATAGCTATGGAATTGTTGTCTTGGAGATGATAACTGGAAAGAGCCCAATGACAGGTATCCAAATTGCAGAGGGAGCAGAGTCTCATCATGAGAGGTTGGTAACATGGGTGAGGGAGAAAATGAGGAAAGGATCAGAAGTGACATCTTGGGTGGAAGAGATCATTGACCCTTCATTGGGATCCAATTATGACATAAATAAAATGGAGATTTTGGCTACAATGGCTTTGGAATGTGTGGAGGAAGAGAGAAACGTGAGGCCTAGCATGAGTCAAATTGCTGAGAGGCTACAAAGCCATGAACAAGATTCTTGATGTTTGCACAGAGAATAGCCATCTCTTGGTGCTCATATTTACTATTTTCTGTTTAAGAAGCATATAGTGTTTGTTTTTACTTTTGTTTGTTCTTAGTTCTTACCAACTACTAATGGTAAATAATGGAGTTAAGCTTGTAATAGAGAAAAACAGAAAGGAACTGAGACTAGTTTGAATTTTTCTTTTTTTATTCTAAAGAAGTCAGTGTGAGGAATAAGTATTTTTTATTATTATTATTTTAAACCACCGACTTCTGTGTAAGAATTGGATACAAATGTGTCATTGTACTGTGGTTTAAGAAGTGCGCATCCTTATCACTATTTTGCTGAGTTAATGCAATTATGATACTTGGCAATATTTATTAATGGATACATTGTGAAAAACAGTAATAAAAGGAATTAAAGGAGATGCTTTTGATGAGCAAATTGAGTTGTGAAGGTGAAACCACTCAATCTTTGACAACCTTTCATACATATGAATTCTTGTCAAATGTTGATAGTTATAATGACTGGATTCAAGTTCACCCTTATTTCACACAATAGTTATACGCACACAACTGAAAGTAAAAAGATAAAAATAAAAAACAGAAATTGCATGAACAATGACACAAATTAATGATAGAAGAATATTAAACACCATCACCAATTGTAACAGTGCATTCAATCCCCATAGGTTTCTGCAGCAGCTGAGAAATTAGATATAACCCCTGCTCTTCAAACACTCCACTGACTCTTTGATAATTTGTTCAGCAGGAGTGAACTCTAGTCCTAAATCAATCAGTTTCTTGGATGCATCCTTTGCCCTTAACAACTCAGTTTGGTTATCTTTTGACACCCTGTAAGCAAAGGATAAAAAAGTAATTAATATTAATACTTTTATAAATCGAAATTTTGTAATTGCATAAGGATGTAATTCAAATATTTTTTTATTTTCATACTATGTATTAATTTATCAGAAAAAAGTACTAGTTGTTCAATTGCTACATGTAATTGTGTAGAATACTCTCACCTAACCACATTATATTCAGGGCATAAGTCAGCAACCAGTTCTACAAAATCAACATAGCGACGAATAGCTTCCACACACAAGTGCCTTCCTGATGCTTTCTTGTTCTCAAAAGCCAAAATATGTGCCATGGCTATATCTTTAACATGAGCCATTCCCATAAAGAAATCCTCTAACGTTTTTGTGTCACCTATAACAAGGTCCAAACCCCTATTTAGTAGCCTTGCAAGAGAAAAAGAACGATTGAGATATAGAAGATGTTTGTGTTGTTCTTAGCTGAATTATAAAGAATATAACAGTTCCAAAGTATGTTCATGCTGCTAAAATTCTCTGTTTTGGGTCTGTTGTGCTAAATGCCCAAAATTTAATTTATACACTACAAAAACATTGGGATTCTCTGTCTTCACTTACTAGTTCATGTGACAATTAAATTACCAAAATCTAATAAAATTATTAAAGGCAAAGACAACTTTGTAGTTAAGTATTTAATTTAAACAAGATAGTTTGCAAGATGTTCAACATTCCAAACCTCTATGCCATAAGCACAAAAATATTTAATTAAATATAAAAATTTACATCAAAGTGTTTCCTTTGCCTGAGGGAAGATATCAAATGTGTTTGTCTCTTTTTCCTTGGTAAAGGGATAAGAAAGAAAATATGAAAAGGAGACAATAGATTTGAATGTAGGAAAAGATGCAAGACATTATATTAAGGGAATAGATGTTCTCCTGTGTGACTTTATATGACCTTAGTATTGAATGGATCCCCTTATATATGATTACAAATCAATGGTTATCTTTTTTCCTACCTTGTATTTCAATATTTATTTATTTTTATTTTGGAGATATTTGAATCAGTTCATCACTTATCGACTAGTCCGATTCGGAGCGGATTCCGAGATTAAGACTTTAAACCTCTTCCAAAGACGGTACTGAAGAGGACCGAACACATGCTCTCACTCCACCAGTTCAGTTCCTTGACGCCAACTAAACTATCCTCATTTTGGGGCCTATTTTATTTTTTATCACCTATGATTTATTTATCAACAATTAAGAACCTTTCACATGACCCAAAGAAAGGATCCACTTCTACATATTTCATAAGAAAATTACAACTGTATAAGTATATTACAATTCAAAGGGCTAAGTTCAGGGGTGTTCGCGGTCTGAATTAGATCGATTTTGGAAGTAAAAATTATCTGATTCAATTCTTTCGGTTTAATCATGTAATCATCCATTCGGTTTGAATTTTTTTTCAAATCTGATCCAATCCAATTTTATTTGGTTTGGATTGGATCGATTTTCGATTTTTTGAAAAGCCTAAGATTTGTATGCTGATTATTTGGCAAATAACATATCTTTTATATGTATCGGCTTTGTAAAGTTTGTATGATGATTATTGTGCAATCTAGAAGCAAAATGTTAAACTATCATCTTTTACTTTCAACATAAAATTTATAATATGGTTGTCTGAGATACGAAGTAACCCAAATTTTCATCTTATAGAGGAGCTACTGTACAACAATAACTATGTAATAAAAATATATTATGTATCTTACAAAAAAAAACATAACATAGATCAAGCACAACTCATTTTCTCCAACATGATGGGTTAATGGGTCGTGGATTTAGAATTTTGCTATATGATTTTTAGGCTATAATTGGAGAAAGGCCTAAGTAGGTAGATGGTAAGGTGGGGGAATAATTGGATCGGTTTTCACCAACCCATCCAAAATCCGATCCAATCCAATTAAATTTTGCAATTTTTTTTTTCGGTTTTTGATTTTTCGGTTAATTCGGTTAATTCGATTTTTCGGTTCGGTTACTGCGGGTTAAATCAGTTTGAATCGGTTGATGAACACCCCTAACTATGTTTACTCCACAAAAAACAGGAAAAGTGCTAATGATTAACCCATTTGATGGAGTGGTGATTGATTACCTTTGAGAATACTAGCAAGCGCAGCCATGCTGGAATTGATTCTTGGTGGAATCAGAGGGCCCAACGCAGTGCCAGGATTTATCATCACCACATCGAAACCCGTTTCCTTAGCAAAATCCCAGCCCGCTTTCTCCGCAAGGGTCTTTGCAATTGGATAATATAACTAGCCCACAACATTAAAGTTTCAATCAAAGTGACCCAACAAAACAAAATAATTTAACCCACAAAAGCCTATCCATAACTTCACCAATGGATTTGGTTCATGTGCGAGTTAAATTGAAAATGATTTTCTTTAAAAAATAAGTGAAAAATAATTTGGATAAATAAAAGCTCAGTTTGTGGTGGTAATAACTTGATTAACTTCTGTAAGTAGTATACACAAGCCAAAAGTTCAAACCTTCTACATAATAAAAACCAAATCATAAATAAAATTTTGGCAACTATTTTGGTTCAATTCCCTTTTCGGATTTATTCTTTTTCAACCCTAAACTTGAATTCTCTTGATTGGTGGATCAATTTTCTTCTTTTTTTTTTATATATATATACCAATTCATCAATTATTCAATTAGTCAAGTTTGAGTATCGTTGAATCTATTATATGGGCCCTATTATAATGAATGACTCTTGCAAGATCATTTTCGCCATTTCAAAACTTGAATTCAAGAGTTCTAATTAAAAGGAACAAACTTCTTACAACTAGACCTAATGGTTGCATATTTTCTTCATTCTTCTTATTTTTAAACCTACAAAATCGTACCATTTAGGCTTTAGTTATTTAATACCTAAATTATTGTCTATATTTTTTTAGAAGTAGGATCCTTTGACATCAGTGTCAAATTTTAAATTTGACACCTCATTTGAGAGCCGTTAGATCAAAAAGGATCAACGACTCTGATTTGTAAGCATGTGACACCATTGATATTTTTTGATCTAACGGCTCTCAGACGAGGTGTTAAATTTGAAATTTGACACTGGTGTTAAAGGATCCTACCTCTATTTTTTATTATGCTTATTTCCTTAGTAAAATATATAATATTATATATTTTAATTAGAAATTTTCAACATTAAAAAAAGAGGAACTGACCCCCTTCTCCCTGCAGTAGTCAAGGTCGGTCCAACAATCCTCTCCCTTAATCTTATCAGCTGGCCACTTAGGACTCGGCGTTATGGCGGAGATCGACGACGTCGCAACCACTCGCTCCACCCCTGCTTCCTTCGCCGCCTTCAGCACATTCACCGTTCCTTTTATCGCCGGTTCCATAATCTGCTTCTGCATCCCCTCATACACACACAAAAATGTAACATCAATAATAATAACATTTAATTTGGACCATACAAAAATATATTTATTTTTTTTTGGGTGTATAAATTAAGTGATTTTTTTTTTTTAGTACATTGCCAGGAGGTATCCTCATTCAACCTTCTCCGGGCACCATGCCCTCGGGGTACGGCCCGTATGGGCTAGCCCCTCATTGTAACAGTGGGTGCACTAAGCTTCGCAACTGGAGAAAGGACGAGACTAATCCTCCAACCGAAGATTTTTGACTTATCCTCTGGCCCCCAAGATTTTCCAAGAAACTGTTTGAGACAGGGTTTGATCCCTGCACCAAACAATCACTTGGGAACTCAGCTGCCAACTGAGCTACCCTTGAGGGTTAAATTAAGTGATTTTTAATATTTAATTTTTTAACCTCGGGATCTTTGACTTCCCCTATGATGTTAGGACATGCTAGGTGGATAACTCCAGCGCAACCCTTTACAGCGGCGGCGATGGAATCAATGTCAAGAAGGTCCATCTCGAAAAGTCGTAGACGACTCTTAGCTCCTTCCATTTCCTCCAGATGTTTGGTCTCGTTCTCATCCTCTGCAATTAAGTGTAACAATTTTATTTCCACAACATAGTAAATGAGTATAATGCTTATGCTATTCAAATATAATTGCACTTTCTTGCTAGTGAGTGGATAATGTTTATAAAAATAAACTATCTTCATGCATTTGTGTTTGTGATTTATTTTTTAAATGAAATGAAGGTTAGTTGTATTTGTAATATTATAATTACTCATGATAAATATGAGTCTATATGAATGATGGGAAGAAAAGAGACTTATGCAAATAGTGCCTAACTGAGATCTTGGATGGTGGCGTGGACGGTGTAGCCACGCTGGAGGAGGAGGAGGACCACCCATGATCCGATGGCGCCGCTGGCTCCCGTGACACAAACCACCTTCGACATGGGTTAGCTTTGTGAGTTCGTTAAGTAAATGAATTCTGCTATACGGTGATGAAGGGTAATGAAGTATATAAACAAGGGGAATGAGTCCTTTTATTTTTTCCCAAATTTTTTATAGTCGAAAATTAATTTTTTTGAGACGGAAGATTATATTAAGTGGGTAAATATCCCAACAAATTTTTTTCCATAAACATGACCAGGGATCGAATCTCTGTTAACATGCTTAAGGAACTCAGCTATCTATCAATGGGTTTTGTTGATGGGAATGAGTCCTTCAGCTATCTACCAACTATAATGGGTTTTGTTGACGAGAATGAGTCATTCGTTTCTTTAATAATGTTATATGGAAATATATTTTTCATGTTGCATGAGACATAAATATAGGGTGAGATTATTAGTGGATCCTATTTAATTTTTTGTGTATTGTATGAGACAATTTATCTTATTCAAAAGTATTCCGCAATATTATAAAAATGAGTATTTAAAATCTCACATTAATTAAAGAAGTACTTTTCAAGTTTTTTGACCATTTTGCCCCTCATTAATTAATTAATAACCAATTTGTCCCTCCCCCAGAAGTATCCACCATCCTGTCCCCATTTAGTCGATCAAGTTGCAATTTTAATCGACTAAATGGGCAAAATTCAGAAATCAAGAAACACGAATTTTAGTCGACTAAATATTCACCTTGATCGACTACATGTCGAGCACATTTAGTCGACTAAGGCCATTATTTAGTCGACTAAATATCGCGGATCGGGATTTTTAAAACCCCCTCATTTCGCAAAGGGGGTTATTTTCAAACCCTAGTCGACTAATTTCGCTCCAAGAACTCCTCTCTTCAACCAAGTCCAAATCTCATCCCTTGAAGGTCCGATTGGAGCATCATTGGTTCACAACTTGCGAAATTGACATTGTAGGTAACGTTTTCTGACTTGCATTTGGTTTTAGGTTTAGGTTTTTTTTTGTTTTCTCCATGCTCTGGTTTCTGTTTTTTTAAATTTCTTGTTTATGGTAGAAGGTTGTTTGCGGTTTTGTGGCTTTAGGTTAGGGGTAGGGTGATGAGTTTGATGTGAGGGTAATTGACTAGGGTTGATGTGGTAGCTTAGGGTTAGGGTTAGGGTTAGTGTTTAGGGTTAGGGTTCGCGTAAGGGCTGCTGTTTTGTTTGGGGTGTAGGGTTAGGGTTCCTATTTTTATGTTAGGGTATAAGATTGTTTTTCCTGTGATGGGTTAGGGTTAGGGTTGGGGTTGTTGTTTGGGTTTGGGTTACTGTTTTTGATTGGGTTTAGGGTTTACGTTCTTGTTTTTATGGTAGGGTATTGGTACAGGGTTTGTTTTATGTTTTATTTTAGGGTTAGGGTTTAGTTTTTTATATTGAATTTTAAAATTTTTTGATATTGTTATTGTCCATTGATATTGTTTCCACTTGCATTGTAGGTACCGTTGTTCCCATGGCTGGGCGTAGAAGATCGGATAACGTGGGAAATGAGAGACAAAAGAAGGTACGACAAGACCGTCCGTCTTCGTCAAGGCCATAAGATGAAGAGCTCGCTCCTGTCGACCTCCCATTCGGATACTTGTTCGAGCATGACCCCGTGGTTCATGATTCATTTGTCCGTGACTTTGCTAATCGACCCATATGTGGGGCCAAATCACTTGATACAGCATTTTTCGAAGCAGAAGGTTTTAACATTGTGAGGTGGTTGGACGGAGCACATCTTAGGGTTTTGGCTGAACTGTCGTGTTCATATTCAGAGCTGCATGTACGGGCCTTCTACCATAACCTCAGCTACGTACAGGGTGAGCTGGGGTCGAGGGTCTGTGGGGTGCAGATCATCATGACGGCTCCGGTATGGTTGGAGTTACTGGGGTACGACTTTGATTCTGCGGACACTGTGGAATATGATGCAAATAGTGGCGCCACACTTCCAGGATATACACGAGGTGATGCCGTGCAGAAGCAGAGAAGAGTCTGTGGGCAACACATTGCCTATACGGTGGGGTTGCTTACTGTGGAGTCCCGTATACTACACTATGTCATCACCCACATTCTGTTTCCGCGAGCGTTCAATCATTCCAGGGTGTTGGAACATGACATTCCCATCATGTGGGCTATCCGACATGGTACTTTAGTGAACTGGAGGCACTACATCTGTTGGATGATGTATAAGGCCAAACACAAGGGTGCACTTCCATTTGCTTGTCTTGTTCAGAGGATATTGGAGTACTTTGGTGTTCCCATGGGCAATGTGACCTTGAAGAAGACCACATGGTATAATCATAAGTTTGGAAAGCGTCTACTGGAGCAGTGCAAGATGACAAAGAACATACAAACAGGAGTGTGGCAGTTCATAGGCGGGGCTGATGTTGAGGTTCCTGATGTTGCTCCACTTGCAGATATGGTTGAGCCCGAGGTGGAGGATGATGATGAGGGTGACCAGCAGGAGATAGCTGAGCCTAAGGGTGGGTTTTCATTGCGTGATGTCATGAAGGGCATAAATGCCACACTGAAGAAAATAGGAAAAATGGCGCTGAAACACAAAAAATGGAGGAAGGGTCACATCCAGAAAGGGAATGAAAGGTTTAGATATATACAGGGACGGTTCAAGGGTGTTGAAGATAGGCTTGCTTGTCTAGAGCTTGGACGAGGACAGCAGCAGGTTGAGGATGTTGCAGGGCAGGGGGCTGATGTGTCCGACGAGGATGACGAGGAGACAGCGTCCGAAGAGGAGGAGGATTAGATTTAGGGTTTATGTTTTTTACTTTACGTTTGTAGTGTGTGTTGATATGTAATTGACTTTGGTCTTCTTATTTGACATTTGTAGTTTATGTGTTTTTATGTTTAGGAGCTGAACTATTTAATGTTCCCATCATGTTGTGAACCGTTTACTTATTTATGTCATTTTTATTGTTTACCACATGAAATAATATGGTATTTTTCCATTCTTGTTTTCAATTTGGGTATAATCACAGTCCAAAGGGTCTAAAATGTCCAAAGCAATTAAGAACTGTCACTCATAAGAGAGTTAAATGACGAACACAAGTTTCGGGTACCCTAAACCAAGATTTATGCAATACATGTACATATATGGTTTATAACCGCCACAATACAATTTTGTACCTGAAATTGTGTTCCCCAAGTCATAATATGTGTGTACCCGTAGGACCTTATTGATACACTCAGATAGGATAGTCGTCATATGACCAAACCTTTGGCCCTCCTCATCATAAGACCTGCACCATTTCTCTTTGGGAATTTGATCTATCCATGAGGCTACTTGTGGGTTACTGTCGACAAATTCTTGAAATCTTAAATCAAAGTGAATCTTCGAATACATGTATCCTGCAAAAAATGAACCCAAATTGAATGAGTTATACATAAACAGCATTACATACAACATGTACACATTCATGAAAATAGCTTACCTAGTTTCATCAGCGTTTTCTTCAGTTCCACGTCCCTAAACTTAGTGTTAAATTTGCTTCCAATGTGACGAAGACAAAACACGTGATACGCAAATGGAGGCTGCCAACCGGCATGATCCTTCACAGCCCTGATGATGCTGGGTGACGATCGGATATTAGACATATACCATGCCTATGTGTGACATGGAAACGCATCAGGCTAAGAAACCACAACCAATCATCCAATCTCTCACCCGGTGGAACAATGGCAAACATAATACGCAGAATGTATCCATCACCATCCTGTGACGTAGCAATCAAGAGGGTACCTTTGTATTTCCCATACCGGTGCGTGCTGTCAATTTGGATTATGGGTTTACAATATTTGAAAGCCTCAATGCACTGGTGAAAAGTCCAAAATACCCTGCGAAAGACAGCCTTATCGGTGTAGAAACGTCGTTCGTCACAACACTCGTCCGTATCAATCTTGAACACAAAACCAGGATTAATCTGTGTCATGTAGGTCAGCCAACCAGGTAAGATGGCATATAATTTATCCCAGTCGCCAAACAACTTCACAATGGCCTTCATTTTAGCCTTCCAAGCCTTCCTATAAGATATGTTGTGTCCATACAAACGTTGTACCCTCTCCTGAATAAGAACTGGTTTCAGAGATGGATCTTCTTTTAACATACCTATACAAAAATCGAAGTCAACACAGTCAATAAATATACCGTAAAAATAACGTAAACATAAACCCTAAACCAAACATCGTGTAATACATACTTATAATGGCTGCACAGATTACATCAGAATCCAGCTGTCTATGGTCCCGGGTAAGGCCTAGGTTTAGGCAGGTGTGTTCTTTACCCCACTTACTAACAACCCAAGTATTTCCATTCTTGGGCAACATAGCCCGCACGTACTAGGGACAACCATCATTATGGTGTCGACACTTCATCACAAATCTATGGTCATCACTTTTTGCCACCACAGCAGTACGATGAGACTTCATACAATATAATTTGACTGCATGTTGCATTTCAGATTTAGTTCGAAACTCCTGGTACAAATATAATGGATCCCCTAAATGCCAGCCACCGTGGAAGTCATCGTCGCCATACAATATCTCCGTCTCATCATTAGGGTGAGCCCAATTAATGAAGGAATAATGTGGGCTTTCGTTCTAAAACGGCTCAATATCGGAACCTACATCCAAATTCCAGGAGTTTTCCGTCAGTACGATTGATAACGCAAATATGAAATATTCATTTAAAACTTTAATTTATTATCTTACCACTGCTAACAGGGTCAACACGGAGTGGTGGCATCACCTGGGAACTCAAGTTTCCTGAACTAGTTTTCAGCGTCAAAATTCCCCTCTACGTCCGTATCTGAGGTGTCACCCAGCGAAATAAGACTCTCGGGTTCACCATCGTCTTCACTGTCCATATCCTCCTCATGCTCATCCTCATCCTCGACTATTTCCCTCAGTGTTATCTGACTTAAGACATGTGCATGCGCAGATAAACCGACCACTCTATCTTCTTGACTTTGACTTCTTTCATGCATAGGTGCAGATGAAGATTTCCCACAGTCTATTTCAACATATATCTCAATAAAGTTTTGAAATTTTCGGTCCGCAATTGCATCTATGACACATTCCACATCTTCATCGTCACAAATATCATTACCAATGTAGATAGCATCCTTACCAACTGTAGACTCTACCCTGAAGATCATCCGTTGAACGCACTGGCTGCCTTGTAGCCCCAATTTTTGGTGAATCCTCCCCTTAAGCTCATTGTACATAGTGCCCCGTTTGATTTTCGACATTTTCGTTTTTCCTTCAAATTGAACACCGTTGGGGCCTTCATAATGCTTTCCATCATAGTAAATCATGGTAACATACATGTTTGGACTTGAGTTCATCTTTCACACGAATTTGGGGGTAGGAACCGGATTTTAGGGTTTTGGGTTCGGATTTAGGGGAAACAAATCAGAAAATAAGGGAAATGACAATGATTTCACAATTACTATGCTTTAGAGATGGTGGGATGAAATGGAAGGGTGAATGGAAGGATCACAACTGACAAACAAGAGAAAGAAGGGTTTTGATTTCGAAAATATTGCAAATGAGACCGAGAGAGGTCTGGATATAGGGTTTTCTGAGATATTTAGTCGACTAAATAATGGCCTTAGTTGACTAAATGTGCTCGACATGTAGTCGATCAAGGTGAATATTTAGTCGACTAAAATTCGTGTTTCTTGATTTCTGAATTTTGCTCATTTAGTCGATTAAAAGTGCAATTTGATCAACTAAATAGGGGCAGGATGGTGAATAGTTCTGGGAGAGAGACAAATTGATTATTAATTAATTAATGAGAGACAAAAGGGTCAAAAAGCCGTACTTTTCACCTTATTTGAAGAAATATCTAAACTGCGATTTGATAATTAAACATGATATGAGGTGGAGAGCTCTTTAAACTAAAATGGAAATCAGTGTCATATATCACGAGGTTGCTTTCAGCTGGTAGGGTAAAGGACGGTGCAATCAGTGGTCGTATTAGTGATAATGTAATTTTCGTGACACGCTTTGCAATTGTGGGATTAGTGATAAATTTACCTATAAATGGCCCATAGTAAATATTTTTATATAAAAAGGAAATTCTACATTAAAACCTCACAACTGAGCTAATACTGGCTAATGATTGGTATCAATTTTTCAAAGCACATAACTTGTGTGTCTTATGGAAAAAAAAAACAGCTTTAATTAATATGCATAATTAACTAATAATTTGAAGGTGACTTTAGAGTGATAATACTATACAAAATTACACTCATACATTCATATTCCTCATATATTTTTATATTATTTAACGAATTCGTATTATAATTTATTAATGTAGTTTAAAATATAAACATACTTCAAACAATTTATGTAAATATCTTGTTCTTTTTTTCACCATACAGCAAGGATTTGCTTTAAAATAGTATAATAAAAATGCTACTTATAGCGGTAACACAATTACAAACAGTACAACTTCTTCTTCTTCTTTTTTGCTTGAGTGTTGTGGGAATTGATTAACACCACACAGCGAGGTCCTTCTTAGATCATTTCGGACCCAACTAAAGATTCGATTAAATTTTTCTGTTTGTCTTTTGTGGTGATCGACCTCTTTAAATCAGTGTTGTTAAACCCGATTCAGACATTGACCTGGTCGGAATACAGGGTCATTGGGTCACTGGTCGGACCGTGGGTCACTGATCACACCGGTTGACCTGAATATATATAGATATATAAAAAAATATAAATATGAACATATAAATTTAATTATATTCTCCATATATAAAATGAATTAAACAATGTTCACTAAATAAGCTCAAAAACATGAAGCATAAATAAATAAAAATGTGCGCTATTACTATGTCAATTTAAATTGTAACTCAAAATTTCCATAAACATACTTCTCAATGACATTGAACTCATATTTTTTAAATTCAACTACATTAAAATGACATATATGTCACATTCTCTTAATTTATTATTCCACAAATTACATCAGTATTGGTAACTGAAATTTGAGATCATTATAGAAGAATATACTAACAAATAAAATTATAAAAAGCTTTTTGATAAATGAAACAGTTTTGATTTTTTGGTTTTTTTTTTTTTGACATGGGTCACCGATTTTGACCGATTTTGTCCGGATTTAATCGGATCGATGCATGATCGGTTCAATACTTATTCAAACCGATCCGATAACCGATTCATCGAGTTCCCCGTCGACCCGGCCCGATCGGATCGAATTTTACAACAGTGCTTTAAGCACTCGAACAGGGCGAGCTAAAAAGATAAAGTTTTATGACGTCATTTTTGTTTCAGACTTTTTTAATAGGGAAAAAAATCAGACATAGACACGTTTTTATAGTCCCTTAAATTATATATATCGCGTTGTGTGTATTATAAAATTTTGTTAGTTGTATCATATTTAAAAATAATATTGACGAAGGACAACAAATTTGTAACAGAATAAACGAACTCATGATTTTGTCATTGCACACTACAATATTAATTCATTGGAGTAGAACGAATGGATATACTCTTCTGTTCCTTGTTTTATACCAAACTATTCACGTGAAAGTTTGATGTATTTTTGTACTTTTGTGGCGAACAATTTCAGTTATAATTTCTGTGATGACTATCTTTATGGCGAATAGATGTATTTCTTGTGTTCAGAATTTTTCTTTCAAATGAAATCCGGGTTTGGAATAGAACTATACAAGTTCAATATCTTAATATATTTATGGAATAGGATATTGTGACACCCAAGTTATGTTACACCCATGTGACACCCAGTCAATCTCACAGTTAGATCGCTTATGTTGATCCAACGGTTATATTTATTTCCATCTTTGTATGGTCATGATTTCCTAAATTTAATATTTTATATTTATTTCTACCTTTGTATGATTATGATTTCCCAT